CAAATTTGTGATTTATATGCTTAAATTTTAAACCCAAATTACTAAATCAAATAATGCTTAATACTTTAATCCTGAGATGTAAAAATGAAAGTATGTGTTCATTGGCCTTCTTCTAAAAGCTGAATGTGTCATAGTCACCTCCAGGGACTTGCTTATCATTTAATTTATTAATGGTCATAGCCACTAATTAGAGCAACAACTCATTAAGGAAGGAAACAGATCTGCTTGTTTGCTGGCCTGGCATCCCAAGGGTAATTAATATTTTTATTACTGTCCTACTTCCAGCTCTTTCCAGCTGCTTACCCACTGCTACAAGAAAATAAATCAGAATGATCTCTGCCTTACCTTGAGCTGAACTTTTGCATTTACAACTTTCTCAGTAATATATTTCAAAAACCGCAGTTCTATAACAATAGGTACTCCTTAGGGACTCCTGACACTTCACCTTACTAATACTTTCATTATCATTTTACAAGTACAGTTAGTTGTCTGTGATTTTCTTCTTCCTGGAGGGAAAGAATGAATCATCTATTTCCAGTGTGGATTTATGCATAGAAGAAGCTATCAATAATTTTAATATTATAAAAAAATAAAAAGGAAGCCTATACACGAATGATGATGAGTAGGTAGTTGTAACAGAGGAACACAGTGACTTAATCCCATGTGCCCAAAACCTCTTTCAGTAGGAAAATTGATGAAACACTAAGTAAGAAGTCAGTCAGAACTCATGCACTCTAACATGTGCTGTACCATAGCAGGTCCTTGGGGATAGGTCTTTGCAGAAATTGAAAACTCTTTCAGGTATCAAGTAGCTCTTGGCTCCACAATCTTGACATGCAGTGGGCTGTAGATTCACCATGTGTGCAAATCTCCTTGAAAATGTGCACAGTAATTTTCCTCCTCTGGCCCTGAACATACATTATTATCATTCTCCAATTTATTGATTTCAAAACTTAAAGCAACCAAAACTTATTTTATTGTATGTTCCAATTTTTCTAGACTCTCCTCCTGTGTTGGGTCCTATACTAAACACATATTCTAAGTTTATCGGTGAAAAACCACAGGCTAAGAGCTATTCACTTGCCCAAGTTCCCATAGCTAGTAAGTGTCAAGTTGGAAGCCATGAAATTTGTTTTCTTGTATCACTTACTCCACTCTGAAATGGTGAGAGTTGGATGAAATCAAGTTCATATTATTCTAGGATGTACTTTGAGTTACTATCCAAAGCCAAAATTTATAGTCATACTGCGAATTATAATGTTATAATGGAAAACTGCTGAATCTCAGTAATTGATGTCCAAAGATTCTGTGATAAATTATTTATGGGTGAGACATTGTAGAGAGAGAAAAGAAGCACAGTGCAGCATCGTGCTGGGATACTCGCATCGTTAGAGCTGCTTCCTGGCCCCTTTCCTAGTTCTTCTGAGGTGAAAGTACAAAGCTCACCCTGACTGAAGAATTCATTTTTCTCTAAATTAGGCATCAGCTGTCACTAATGGAAGTGGATGGAAACGGAGAATTGCTGGTCATTGGTAGCCATAGTTCAAAAATACAACACAGTATAAAAACAAAAGTAGTACCCTCTATCAGGATGACAGTACAAAGAAGGTGAATACAATGAAGAATCAAAATGTAAAAGCTCTGAAGGTTTTGCTGTGAGGAAAGTATCAGGAATTACAAAGTGGCCAAGAATCCAAACAGCAATCATGGTTGAGACTTTGGAACTCAGCTAGGAATAATACTACATAAAGTAGCCTGTATTATTAAGCTTACCATCAGAACCAGCGATAAGTAGGGTAAAAGTGAGTTTAGATTTTGGAATACCTGAAAACCACCCTTGATTCAAACCTGCTTTTATTGCTCTGTTGTATATTCTTTTTCTAAAAATCTTTTTTAAAAAGATCTCACCTTGAGCTTTGTCAGTCTTTACGGTTTTGTTTTACTACATACAAACCAACTATGAAAGTCCGCACTTACTGACAGAGACACAAATGAATGCCTAAGGCATATGTTAGCCTGGATAAGCTTGTCCAATTTGGAAAAGATGCTGATAGGTAAGGAGGGCCTGTGTGGAGCAGAACACAACAAAATGTGCTAGGGATTGAGAAGTGGTGATGCACTGCTGAGGGAAGGTGGAGGAAGGAACCTGTTGGTCTAGATAACATCAAAAGGGAGCTTTGAAGACTTTGCTTAAATTCTGAAGTCAAGATGTTACCAAATGCAGAAGTGTTCAGCACTTTAGGTTTTCAGTAAACAGCTCTTTTCACACAAAATTATAAAGCACTAAAGTCTAGATTTGTACTTCTATATCTTCCTTCTACACTGAAGATGATCAGCAGTTTTTGAAATTAGGATAATTGAATAGTGACACGTGTAACTTAAATAAGTTTGTCAGATAAGAGTCAAATGTTGAGCTTATTTATCCAAGTACGTAAATCCATCTTAATTCATCTAAGTTTGTTCTACATTCTATATCCCATTACTGAATCCTATATATAGCATATATATAGATAGAGCACTACAGATACACATTTTCGCATGAGAGAAAATGTTGGTGTACCACTATACCTTCGTTATCTACAGAAATGATTGGGTTAAAAAAATCTCAAAAGGAATGCTATGAATAACTTAAATTTTATTTCCTCATAAATATGAATTATGCCTTCTACAGTAGATTCACTTCCTGATTATGATTCTTTATTTTCTGTGAGAAGGTGGTACATCCCATAACCATACACTTAAGGGAGCTATGATTTTATTCATCCACTCATTGTGTTTTGTATCTCTACTAAATTTTCAGGCATTATTCTAAGTGCTATTCATTCATCTAGGGTTTATATTCAAAATGTTAACCACTATGAAGATCAATTAGTGAGAATAAACAGATCAAAAATCACTCTGGAAGTAGCTACTTAGAAAACAAAGGCACAGGCTTCTGGAAGAGGATTCATTTACCGGGGAAAATTAGTGAGTTAATAGGTAAATATCAAAAAATATGACACTTGATCTAATAGAATAAACGCAGTGTGCAAATGCCTTTTCAACTGACCAATGCGGTTAGTTTCTTCCTATTTCTCCTTACTCCACCATTATGGATGCATTAAAATTCATAACCCAGAGGCATCTGATTAAGGAAAGTTGTTATATTTGGAGCATTTGATTTAATTTAAAATCGCTTTCAGTACTTTGTCGGAAGAATTGAATTTTGAGATTAGTAACTTTTTTCAAACAGGAAATAAGTATTTTTGTAGCTGAGAAATCATTCATTTAAACTTATCTAAAGATTTGTTGCTTTCTTTCAAATTATTATATGTATAAATTATCACATAAGCATTACTACATGGATCATAGGTCACATTAAATATACTTTAGGAAATACAGTGATTTTTCTAAAATATCTGTCAAAAACATCAGAAATAGAAGCAAAGAAAATTGGTCTGTTTTTAACTGAAACAACTAATGGAATGATCTCCCACTTCATTTATTCTTCTGTGGAAAGCTAGTAATAAATTCCCACGAGCAAGTAAGTGACTTTAAGGAGAAATAACTTTGCTAAGTTTAAAGACATTATTCACATAGTTGTTCATTTATATGTGAGGATATTAATATTTCAAGGTACTAGTTAAAATTATAATTATTTTTAAATTGAAAAATTTGTCCAAAGCATTTCTATAATATCTATTTTCTAATAATGTCTATTTTAAATTTTTTATATGGAGGAGGAAATTAAAAATCAAGCCCTTATGCATATACTAAAGTAATATGCATGTCTAGCATGTTACAAATAAAAATGATACAGTACAGATACATTTTGTAGACCCAGGAAGAGGTCTGTGTTCCGAGATGGTTCAATTCATCTGGTATTTGAGAGCAACTTACATGCTCTTCTAAAATATGGCATCAGGTGTGTTATGCAGCAAATGTGGTGCATTGCAGATGTTCCGTCTATTTGAGTTAATTTCCCCTAGGTGGCGATCTTTTCAAAGAAGACCTATAAGAGACCTGAGATACACATATCCTCCTCTAGGTAGTTTTTATCTCCTCAGAGTCAAAAATACAATTTTGAGACACAATATGATTTTAAAGCATGATCTCAAAATCATCCCGGGGAGCTGAATGTTATCTACTTTAAAAATTTAAGATACGTATTACAAGAGGGATATCTCAAAAGTATTAGTTCTGTGATTTTGATTATGGAAGTGGCTGTGAAATTTACACTCAAGTACTAGCTTCTGGGCTAATGGCCCATAGCTCTGCTGCTATAACCTTGACACTGTTATCTAATGAAAAGGTTTACTAATCTCTTTAGATTGACAATTGCTTTCCAGATGGTGTGCGTAGCTGGTGTTTTGTGACAACACTTTTATGGGGACATTCCCCTGGTGAACGAGGAGAAGAGATAGGTAAAGCTAGTGGGGCTCAGCCCTGTACATCTTAAGGCTTTCCATAATATATTGAAGGAGAGGAAGAGACAAACATAGTAAGATTACTTAGATGTATGTGAATTTAACAATGTGAAACTTATTAGAAAACACAGAAGCATAAGACCTTCCTTCCTCTTCCTCAATCCTCTTCCACAACCATCCTACTCCCACATCAGATCTCCTACAACATTCACCCCTACACACTTAACATTTGTGTAATAAACTCAGCCTTCCTACACTTGGAACTCAGCCTTTCAGCTTTGTTTTGTTTTTAAATTTTCCATTGCTCTACTCTGAGGTTTTAACCTGTGAGAGATGTAGGGCTTGGAATGGTAAAACATGAGTGCAGCTTCTCTTTCCTGAATGCTGTCATTTGAAACATTTTAAAATCCTTCAAAAAGAAGAAGTGATAAAGAATTAAAGTAACTCTATTAATGTAGCTATTTCCAAGAAACTGCATTATGTACTTTGATGCTTAAAAAAAAAAAAGCTGGAGTGCTAAGAAAGCAAGAATTACAAACATCTTCATTTTAGTGATAAATCTCCAATAAATTCAGGTCTTTTGTCAATTTAGAAAGTAAGTAACCAAAAAAGCAGAGTTTAAAATCTTTTACTTTTTCCTTTATAAGCTCAGTAGGATTTTGGTGGTAGCCAAGTTCCAAAAATGAAATACATATTTAATTTCAATTGCCTTGGTTGGCCTTTACCTGCCCACCCATATTGCAGTATCCAATATGTTTCAAATTTGAAGGGAAGTGTATCTAACTAGCCCCTGGGAAAGGATTTATTGAGCCAAGTTGTAAAATCCTTTCAAATTTTTGTTTGGCAACCTGAGCAGAGGCTGTCTCCAATAAAGGTAAGCACTGCAGTTCAAGGAGTTCACTAAAACTTTGGCTAGATTTGCATCTGGAGTTTGACACCCTAACCTCTTTGTCTCTCCCAAATTTACCCCTGGACATTGAACAAAATGTGAAGCTCCTTATCCATCATTCTCTCGATTTATCCATCCATCCTTTCTTGACTTTCACTGATGTCCCTCCTCCCCAGCTCTCCACCATCACTGTCCTTTGATTCTCTTTCCGCAGTGAATTTTGAATACTTTCAATCAGGACATGTGACATAATTTGCAGATCCTGTGCAACATACCAGCACAGGACTATTTGTACAAAATGCAGAAGGGAGAGGTTTTCTTTTATTCCTAAGGTGTATGTATCTAACCCTGCTCCTTCCCAAGGCAGCAGTGATCACTGCATTAGTCTCTGTCTAAAAGCTGAGGAGCAAAGAGCAGAGATTACAGTTTAGGAATGAGAGGAGGCAGGAACACGTGGGCGCCAACCTTCTAAACTCTAGGATGTCCTCCAGCCTTGAATCAGATGTTACTTCTGAAACACAAAATTGTGAAGATCTTGGAGATAGTATTCAGAGAGCCTTAAGCCCCTGGTGCTATGAGAAAGAGACCTTATTCGAGTACATGGAGAACAGTCATGAAACCAGGCCAGCCCTTCCAAGGAGCCTTCCCAATACCTTCAAACTTTTCTCAGATCAGATCTCTGTCTTCGCAGAATGCAGAACTCTTCAGAGGTCCTTGGCTTCCTTTAAAGCTGTGGGAGCATGACTTGCTTATTTTCTCATGCTCACAAGAACTAGAGTAGAGAGATAGAAGGCACAATTCTTAGCTGCCTCAATTATAAAGTATTAACCTTTCACTGCATGTACATAGGTACATATGAGTGCAGCTCCTGTCTTGGTTACTTTTCTCTCATTGCTGAGACAAAACACCTGACACCCAATATTAAGGAAGGAAAGGTTTATTTAGCTTACAGGTTGTGGAGGCTTCAGTCCATACTTGGTTGGCTCCAAGGCAGAGTGGTACATGGCACAGGGCAACAGTTCATGGCAGCAGAAGACAGCAAAAGCAGCAAAAGCAGCAAAAGCAAAGTGTAGGGGACAAGTCTCTTTCACTCCCTTATATTGTAAGCAGGCTACCCCAACCCAGGGGCATGTAGCACTCACATAATCTCCATGCCCTCCTTTTGCACAGGCTCAGGATGAATGCAAAATAAGGACCCCAGCCCCCTACTCAGTCAGTTACTTAACCTTCTTACTAACCTTACTTAACCTTCTAAACTGCTCACAGTGACACAATGAACAACATCCTAGAGCAGGAAGGGCGAGTCCTTTTCACCCCAGCATGTAGAACTGCTGAGTCACTTAGTCAAGCATCTAGACTCCTTTAAGTTGACACAGTGTATCAACCATAACAGCCTTCCGTACTTCTCTTCATCTACCTGCCCCCTGTACTCCATTCACTTTGCATGGGTACTTGTGTTGTCTCTGATATCAAATCTTCCTCTCCACCCTCAAGCATTGCCATCCTCCTGGCTGTTCTGAAAGCACACAGAAGAACCTCTGTGTCACAGGCCCTTAACTTCAACCTCACTGCTGTTCAACTCCATGTTACTCAGTTAGTGTTTTAGTCAGATTGTAGGCCTTCCTGTGACTTGCAGCCACTAGATCTTACATTTTAGCTTCTTATTTTTTGGGCAATATTCTTTTGTTATTCTGTTCTCTAACCTGTTACTCTTACAGAGATTTACATAACATTTTAGTGGAGAGAAACAGATCGGATGCAGTAAGAATAGGATTTTGTTATCTTTTGAGTATTTTAATTGTCACACATAAAATTGTCTAATAGTATGTGTTTTGAAACTTTTGAAATTGATTTCATGTGCTACTGGCTATCGTAGTTTAAACAATTTAATACATGCACACATACGTATATACACACATGCAGAAATGCACAACACACATACCCCACTCTGGAAATTTGAGGCAGAGAGGACAGGCTTTAGGGTTTCTCTGCTCTCCATCCTGCAAACTGTTCCTGTAGGCTCACTACACATTTTTCTTTGACTTCCTTGAAATTCTCAGACCCTCTAGCACTCGTTTTTCTTTCATTCTGCTAAATTGTTTCTGGGTTCACTGTAATCAGTAATGTGTCTAAATTTAATGATTATTGGAACTACTTTCTTAAAAATATCTTCCTATGATTTATCTTTCCTTTGAAACAGTCCATTAAATTATGAATTCTAGGTCCAAAATAATGTTAGAAAATAATTCCAAACATTCCATGCTTCATATGGTTCATTATGGATTCATCTAATTTAATCTTCACAGTGATCTAATGGTGTGAATATAATTGTGCCCAGTGTGACAGTGAAGCTTTATTGTCTCAACTTGCTTGGTTTGGGAACCACCTACGTCATTAGTAGAGCCCTATTTCAGTGTATTTGGGTAGGTCACAGAGGCATGACATTGAGTACCATATATGGTCCCTGGTTCCTTTCTCTATGTCACTCTTTCCCTGTTCTGCTTTCCAGCTGCTATGAACTAAGCATCTTTGATCTACCACACCCTCAGCCATGATATTTTTCCTTGGAGCCAGCGACCCATGAACTGAATCCCCTGAAACAGTGAACCAAATTAAATCTCTCCTCTTTTAAGTTATGAATGCCTGGTATTGTAACTCAGCAATGAGAAGCAGACTAAACACACTCAAAAATTACACACAACAAAGAACTGGGCAGGTATGGGGGCACACACCTGTAATCCCAGCACTTGGGGGGCTGAGATAGGAGGGTCACTGTGAGTTTGAGGCCAACCTGGGCTACAAAGTGAGTTCAAGGCCAGTCTGAACTGAAGAGCAAGACCCTGTCTCAAAAGACCAAAAAAAAGGGGCTGGGGATTTAGCTCAGCGGCAAAAGCGCCTGCCTGGCAAGCGCAAGGTCGTGAGTTCGGTTCCCGGTACCGGAGAAAAACCAAAAAAAAAAAAGACCAAAAAAAAAAAAAAGAAAAAGAAAAAAAGCCAAAACTTAATAATCTGTTCATATAGTTTCTTAAGTTACAATGTGTGGTTCCCAAACTTGAATATGTAAAAGTATCATCCAGAGTTCTTAAATAACATTTCTGTGTTCCACCCTAGACATTCTGATTTGGGAGGATTTGTTTATGGCATAGGAATCTGCTTGTTAAATAAATTTTCTGTAAGTGGGTTCATTTCAGACTTCTAGAATCGTCTTTTTATTAGTTCTTTATTCAGACTTCCTGTGATAGAGCAGAAATTCTTCAGAAGCAGAAGGCAGCTTGAGGACTATGTTCTTTTGGGGGGGTGCTATTTATACTGTCATTTAGCAAGCAAACTACATTAGCATTACCTATGTTTGAAACCAAACTGACTTTGAAAAATCAGTCATACAATGAGTATAATAAAATATGAGCTCTTACAATCAATTATATGAACAATAGGTTTACTTATGTTATTGGAATAACTTGAAATCATATTATTAGTCATAAATAAATATGTTTATTTCTTACTAATTTTGGTCATGACTTCCAATAAATTTTCAAGTGACAACAGTACCAATAAACTGTTGCCACACTTTTAGTTCTGGCCATAAAGAAGCAAAATACATGAAAGCATACAGTGATTTTTGTATAATTACTCAAATAAAGATTATGTTAAAAGATTAGATTGTACATCTTGTTATGATAACATATTAATAAAAAACTTACAAATAAAAATTTTAAATGTAGTTATTTTTCTTTTGTTTAATAGCCTGTGGTTTTTCCTGCTTGGTATTTAGGTGTTGGACACAGCATCACCTTTCAATGTCTGGGACCCTTATGCATTATAAACACATTCACTCTTCCGTGATTCCTGTATTTGCATGCTAACCAGATTTAACTGCATTCATATTATTCAAAAGTCCTCGGCGTGTCTGAGGAATCTCTGAAATGTTATATTCCATTCTTTTTTATTCCCTTATGTCAGTGGCTTCTTTATTAGACATAGACAGCTGGGACAGCATATGTTTCTTTAAAAGAAACCTTTAAAATTTAAAAATTGGAAAGCATATTTTTAAAAATCCACCAGGGTAAATTTTATTTCTTATAAGACAAGATATTTGGGAAGATTCAAGACTCAGCAAGCAAGAAGCCTCATGCTGTACTCGAAGGTGCGCTGAGTTAAGAGTTAAGTCCAGAGTTGTTTTCATTTACTTTAAATTCAAACTTCAGATACATCATTCTAATTAATGATACTATATTTACTCATCTAGAATTGCAGTCTATATTGCAGGCCATGTTTTGTTCAGATGCATTTATTAAGACAACATGAAATAATGAAAGTAAAAGCACACCGAAAGGAGTGGAAAGCAAGAATGGGAAAGAAGATAGTGTTCGTTGGGCATCTGCCATGTTCTAGCTACTATTCCTAACACCTCACATGCATTTTCCTGTTTAATCTTTAAAATGTGTGAGACAACAACCATACTTTAATGAAAGGATCTAAGGAAAGTGAGATATTTTCCTTAAGGCCAAATAGTAAATTAAAGAGCCTTGATTGGCCAATTCTCTTGACATTGCCTTCTGAGTACTTTTAGAATCTAACCACGGCTCCCTGTGACCACTCTGACGTAAGTTACCACCACTTCTTGCCTGGACTACTGCATTAATTTTCCTCAGCCCACCTTTGCTATTGTCTTTCTGCAATCTGTTCTTAATGCATAAAAGAGAGCCTTTAACATTTTTCAGATCATTCCCACCTCTTTTCAAGACCTTCACATGCATTTCTAGCTCATTCAGAATAAATGTCAAAGTCTTTATTCTGTTATGCAGCCCTTCTACTGTCTGGGCTGTTATCTTTCATTACATCTTTAACTTTTTAAAAATCTGTTATTGTTTGTACTTTGCAGGGTCTGGTCTAGCCACACTGGCCACGTACCCCTCCTGCAGTGTCTCATGTATCCTAGGCACCAGAATTCTCTTCTCATAAGTGTTCCCTTTATTTGCTCTTCCTATGTTTCAAAATTGTTTTGTTTTGTTTTGTTTCTGACTGGACTAAGTAAAAAAGGAATTTATTAGGTCACATAAGTGACCAGTTCAGAGCTAAATCCTACAGTCATCTGAGGGGCTCAAATAATCTCATCGGGCTCTGATTTTTCTCTCCCCATTCTGGCTTTACTTTCTGTGTATGGACTCCAGTATCAGACGTGAACCCCTCTCTTTGCAGGAGGCTGCCCAATGTTTCCAGGCCTACAACCTTCTGTCTTCTTTCCAGAGAAAGAAAGATTGTGTCTTTGTCTCAGTCTTTAGAGACAGCTATGTATCTTTCTATTGGTTTAGATGGGTCACTTTCACACACAGAGCAAGTGACAGGCCCAGGGATACATAAATCCTTGCTTAACTAAGGTCCATGTCACGTGATTTACCCCTGGAGCCAGGAAGCAATGAATTCTAAATAAGTGTCCCAGGAATGGAGGGAATTTCTGGTACTGTTTCCTGAGAAACATAACAGTGTTTGGGACACAGTATTGTTGGGAGAAGTTAAACTAGGTGCTGTGTTCCCACCTGACATAGTCCCATTTATTTTACTTATGTGTTTATTTATTTTTTTTTTT